TATCAGGACTTTGAAACGATTGTGTCTATTTAGAAGAAAGAACCACACAGATTTGGAAGAAACTGCTTCTTTTGTACTATATTCTTGGAATATTACGACCTTTTTCTTGTAATTTCCAAAATTTTATTTATTTATTTCCCCTCTTAGTATGGCCCTAATACTCCGTCGTAGTTATTTGACTGGAAACCTGAGACACATACTTCAAGTAGGTGACCACAGGACACGCGGCTCCCAGCTGACAAACAGGGAAACAAAGCTGTTGTTTCTAGATGTTCACCTGCAGGTCTGTCATAACAGTGGGTGGTAAAGCGTGTGGGATTAATCCAGTGCAACAGATGGCCGCAGACAGCAGCCGGGGGACGGATACTTCAGGACAGGATACCTGCCTTTTACTGCGACGTCCTCCAGACTCTGACCTGCCCCCTAAAAGGTGCTCAGCAGTTTGAAATCAGTCTCTTTTCTCTCTGAGCCAACAAAGGACAAAATAATCCTTAATATATTACGTCGACAGCAGAATTTTATAATTTTTTTAACAGCACAAATTCATTGAGATTTAAGGTTTTCCTGAACATTGTTTATGTGTTAGTCACCAGATCTTTTAATTTGTGATACACACGCACATTGTGGATTCTCACAATACAGTTTCATAAAGAAAAATGATAATCTGCTTTCTGTTGGTCCAGTATTGTCATTGTGGACACCTAAGAGACATTTTATAATATATTCTTATTGGACAAAATGAGTAATCCATAGTTGTATCAAACGTTTGGTACCAGAACAACTTCAGTTTCATTAATATGTGCTTTGATCCAAAGGAAATCTGATATTTGATTCAGATATTTTTTTGCGTTTTTAGAAAGAAAATCAACTTTTTCTACCTATTAAGTTTTAATACAAATGTGAAATCAATAATTCTTCACACGTCTTCCACAGCAGATTTTTGTGTTTCCACCTCTAACAGAAAGAAACCTTTTCTTTAACATATTAAATATCTTTGTTGGTCATCAAAGAGATACTGAGTTATTAAATGGTTCTGTCCTCAGTTTTTATTGATTTGAAGCCTTTCAGGTGAATTCAAGAGGCCCTTTAAGAACCTGTTAATCCATTTTAAAGATAATCGCATTGATATTAACTACAAGCTAAATATTTGTCCAACCTTTCGTTTGTATCTCCAGACATAAAAAGTCTGACGTCTCTTTCACCTTTTACCTTTTCAGAATTAATGTAAACGTTCATGTGGCTTCAAATACTCAAAACAAACGCACAAAACAGCTAAATAAAGAGACTCTGTAGTGATTATTGGAGTTATCTAACAACTTTTATCACCTAGAGTCAACTATTATAATAACAGGCAACTATTTTCATAGCCGATTAATTGTTATGAGTCATTTTTTTAATAAGAAATGCCCAAATTCTTTGATTTCAGCTTCTCAGATGTGAATATTTTCTGGTTTCTTTACTCCTTTATGACATTAAAATTGATATCTTCAGATTGTGGACAAAACAAGACATTTGAGGATGTCACTTTGGACATTTTCACAATTTTCTGACATTTTATAGACCAAACAACTAACCTATTAATCATTTTGAGTCATTTTTTTAAAAGGACAAATGTCTAAATTCTTTGATTTCAGCTTCTCAAATGTGAATATTTTCTAGGTTTTAACTAAATATATTAGGGTTGTGGACAAAAAGACATTTGAGGATGTCACTTTGGCCTTTAGGCACAAGGGTTCAACGTTTCCAAAAGCCAAAACTAACATGAATATACATTTTAAGCATGGATGTCTTCATGCAACCAGTGTTGAGTGTTTCACCAGCATCACTAAACGCAAACAGAGCAGCTTTTAGAGCGCAATGGACACAAGAAACCTCTCATGATACACCCCAATAGAAACCACAACCACGAGGAGCTGTGGGTGAGACAGGTCTCTTCAGTCTCACCTCTGACTCGCATGTTTTGCCTCAGCTCTGCCTCCCCGCTGCTCCCTCGGGCCCGGACAGGCGGTCATCATCTCCCGGCACTCTGGGTGGGCGGCAGCGGCATGTTTCACAGAGTTGGTCCCCTTCCGATGGTCCGGGTTGGTTCTGGGCCAGTGTGAGGTCACTTTGGGGGCGATGGAGCTGGACCTGGTCCTCGTCTCGCTCCGGTCCCCCCGCTGCGGACACCGCGGGCAGCTCGACGCGCGGCTTTTACGCACAGCGGGCACCCGGAGGTCGCTCTCCGCTCCGGTAACCGCTCTTACCTTCACCGGTTTGGGTTTCTCCAGGGTCTTTCTTGGAGCCTCCACTGGTTTTTGCTTGATCACTTTTGTGGCGGGCATTTTTATTCTCAAGGTAATGTTTCTACCTCCGGCCTCAGGTGATGGAAGAGACGCGTCATCTTCTTACAAACTAAATTAAAAAGGCAAAAAGATCAAATCTCAACTTTTCCTTTTAGTGGCTCGGTTGCTATGGAGCGTGCACCCTAGCAACTGAAGTGTCAAGTGCCACAGGTCAGGGTGGGACTTCTGGTGCGAAATTTCAAAATAATGTTCATGTAGCCTAATGGCAATGTAAGAATAAGAGAGAAAACCGAACAAATACAAAAATACTTGAGATGCGATTAAGAAAATTGCCAGAAAATTAATCTGCAACAATCTTAACAACTAAATAATATTTTTTAAAGCAAACATGCCAAAAAATAATTCTTTTAGCTTCTCAAATTATTATATTTTCTGTTTTATTCATTTTCTTAAACAATACACTGAATTCTTTTGAGTTTTGAACAATTCGTTGGACAAAACAAGCTGTTTAAAATTGTTATTGTTCACAGTAATTGAGACAATAATTGTTAGATTAATTGAGTAATTATCTACTCAGCCCATTGACATGAAGCTGCATCAGTTATTCAGACTACTTCAGAATCATTGCCAAGTAAGTTTACACATAAGAGCAATTTGTCTTGGTGCAAAGGAATCACAATCAAAATGTTTAAATATAAATAAATATAGAAAGAAATGTTTATTCTAACACAGTGCTACTGTCCCTCACTCTTCCCCAAACATAAAAACTATTCTGCAGTCCTACAGGAAACCATCAGCTGTCCTCCAGAGAGAGTTTAACTACACTCTGAAACCCACAGTAACAGGATCATGTTGTTGATGTTGATCAAACTTTAACCTGAAAACCTTTTGTGAGTCTACATTTTATTGTGAAGGCAGAGCCGGCTGGTTTCCGGGCTGCTGCTGGCTGACTGTGTGCTGTTGATGAGCTGCAGATTAAAGTAAGTGACGCAGAGGACTACTTGTTGTCGGTAGGTGTCCGTCTGCTCATCCGATTACTGACACGCGACTCTACACAGGTCACATGACCACATACCGTGAGAATATACAGTGCAATGGGCTTAGTCACCTTTTGTTTAAATAATGCAAACACACAAAAATAAACTACTATTCTATGACAACAGCTTGATATTGAATAATAGTGAGAAGAATATAATAAACTTTATAATTTATTTAAGTTACAAAGTGCTTACAATTAATAAAAACGTTTAAAAAAGTGCATTAAAAAAGAGAAAATAAGGAATAATTAAAGTTAATTGAAGAGAAATTAAAGCTTTTACAGTTTCTTATTGCTGTTGGCTCAGTTCTTAAATTTGTTTTTTGTTCCAATCTCTGAACAGTTAGTGTTCTGTTCACAACAGATTATGTTTTCTCGTTGTGTTTTGGCACACATGTGCACAACAGAGGCATCTGCAGTTTGCACAATAACCACTTGCACATGGCTCGCTAATCAAACCTCATCAGATGACAAACTCTCTCCACAACTTCTAAACATTCTTTCCACTGATGACACACATACACCATCCAATGTACTGTGAGGAGGTACAGTTTGTACACACTTTCATATGACTTTACATGAACGATTAAAGGTGAGTTTGCCCAGTTTACCTGCTGTTGGAAGTCTCAATCTAATAAGCTCAGCGTGATTCACAACAGCATTCAGCTCGACTAGAAGCTGACATTCCTGTAGAGCACAGTAAGCAGTCAGTGTCAGCAATAAAACAGGACACAGCAGAGATCTGGATAAACATTTCCAGGGTTGATGGTGAAAAAACATCCAAACATTGTGAACCTCAAACACTGACAAGCTTTTGATTCGGGTGACTCAATAACAGAAGGAAGGAAACGTTTTTGGGTGAATTACGACGTTCTCCACTATGTGCAATATCAGAATCAGAATCAGAAATACTTTAATAATCCCAGGTCCCAGGGGAAAATATTTTTGTTACAAAACTCCAGATATACAAACAACA